ATAAAATGAATTCACAGTGTCCATGTTTAATCAAGTAGTTAATTATTCAAATGCTAAACCAAAAGTTTCTTAGATAAAACTCCAACAGGTTTTCTGCTTCAAAGCATTAATTTTTCCTCACTGACCCACAATATGCAGAATGTGAAGCTTTAATCTTCACAAAAAGAGTGTAATTGTTACCGCAGCCAGTAAGGACGCTTGTATGAATATATTTGCAGGAAATTAAGTCAGAAATTATTAATTTTTTCTGCCTTAAAGACAAAATTATATTAGGGTACAAAATAATAACATGTGAAATGCCACCTATTCACAGACAGCCTTTGACTTTTTAGTGCAAAGCAATTTTTGGCTCCTTTTTATTATTATTATTATTATTATTATTATTATTATTATTATTATTATTATTATTATCAGTAGTAATAGCAATATGCAGGGAGAAGATGAGTGTACACTGGAAGGTCAGTTGTTCCTGTGTAAATGGTTTTCTCTCTGTGTGTCCTTTGTAAGCTCTGCATGCATGTGTGAGTGCATGAATGAAGCCATTGCATGTCTATCTCTGTCCATGACAGTCTGCCTGCATGACTGAGCATGCGTGCACATTGATTTGAGAGGGGAGAGGTGAAAGGATCGGAGATGTGGGGTCAGTAGAAGCGGACATGATGTACAAACCTGAGACCGAAAGGAAAGCCCTTGTAAGTAAACAAGAGACAAGTTATCTTTTGTATTAGACAAATTTTTATGTCCCCCTAGATTTTGAAAAACCTTTAATGATGAAAAGTCTAAGCTTGCCTATCTTTTTCTCAATTTTTTTGCTTTCTAACTTAATTCTACTTGTGGTGCTTTTCCTATTTGCAGGGCAGTCTCTGCCAGGACTGTGAACATCTGTTATCTGTTATCAGACTAGGCCGTGCCAGGACTTGGTCCGGCCCACCGGTCATGGACCATTTGGAACTTGTGCTTATCTGCACTGGGCACCGTGCCCTCCATCCAGTCCTACTGCAGCTAAAGCCCAGCAGCTCAGCGCCGAACAATGCACGGAGCAGCAATGTGCTGACTCCTGCCCCGACCCACAGGCCCAGCTGCTTTTCAGCACCAACATGTATAAATAGGTCCGTTTACTCTGAGGTCAGGACATCGTTTTTGTGGAGCCCCCTGTGAGCACTGAACAGCTATTCTTTGGGGCCGGTCAGGTAAGCCCTCTATCTCAGTCCATTCAGCCTATACAACCTTGTGCAGACTATTGTCACTTACATTTTTGCATTTTTTTTCTCTTTGTGGATTTCGCTGAGTCACATGAATGTAAAGACAGAGAGCAGACATGCATATGCAAAGGTGTACTGATGACACACAGGGAGGACACGTATGCACTGTGTCTACGTCTGAACGTGGTTTCATCAAGTGTGGAGAATTTCTCATACTTAGCTGTTTCAAACCCAAACATGTATGACAAAGGCAGTATTGTTATATATGTCAAAAACATTCTAATTAATGAACTTTGTAAATTTTGTTATAAAATTTGGTCAAATTAAAAAAAAAAAAGACACACCAACATGACACATAAAATGATGACAGTCTGTAAGATCCTCTTATATTTTGCATAAAAACTGCAGAAACGCTCGTTATTGTTTTAAGCGGTGTGAATGATAAGCTGTATGTTTAATAAATGCAAAACTCCCTGCTCTTCACTCTGAAGGTATATCAAGTCCGAAATACAAAGTAGCATGGCTCTAAACAACCCTAACCCACTGGGACCATGGAAGGTGAGTCTGACGCCCTTGTCATGGATCAACAACAAAAGCAGATAATGCTTTTAAATATCAAGCCTGGCCTGATAAATGTGTGACGTGTGCATCTGTGCACACATCAGTGTGTGCGTGCAACATGTGCATGCTACATGTATGCATTTGTGTCTGCTCCAGATCACAGTTTATGACCAGGAGAACTTCCAGGGGAAGCGTCTGGAGTTTACCTCAGCCTGCCAGAACATCATGGAGTGTGGCGTTGACAACATTCGATCCTTGAAGGTGGAGTGTGGCGCGTAAGTCACCCACAAAGAAAAGAAAATCTCGAAACCAGAGTGTGACCTAAAACACATTTATCATTTATTAGAAAGATACTGAAAGATCTGTTAGTAGTTAAACTCAAAACATAACATCTGAAATTACTTATAGACCTCACTTATAACTATTTAAAGTTCACTATAAGCTTTTTTTAAATATACAAAACATTTGCCTGATGTCTTCTAATTGGTCTGTGTTCCTGTGATCCAGCGATGCATTCATGTGTCTCTCTGTTTGTTCGTGGCAGCTGGGCAGGATATGAGCACTCCAGCTTCTGTGGCCAGCAGTTTGTTTTGGAGAGGGGAGAGTACCCTTACTGGGAGTCATGGAGCGGCAGCAACGCCTACCACATTGAGAGGATGATGTCTTTCCGCCCCATCTGCTCTGCTGTGAGTTTCTGTCCTAAATCAGCAGCTTCTGCTTTTTCTCCATCTATACAAAATGTAAAAAAAAATGGATTTGTCTCATGAAATGGTCTCATGTGTGTGTAAAGCTCAATAGAGTGACTAATAAAGGCGCTGAGTGCAGCCTAAAATAGAATGGAGTGCACTTGCAACTCGTAAATTATTAGATTTTGGACCCAATTCACACAATTTTGATGATTATTATGCAACTCTTTTATGCCTGGAAGGTTGCTACCTCATTACTACACCTATCAACAACATCATGTGTTCTTTTGTCTGTTTTCTCTGGCTGACTCATGCTCGCACAGAATCACAAGGAGTCCAAGATGGTGCTATTTGAGAAGGAGAACTTCATGGGGCGCCAGTGGGAGATAAACGATGACTATCCTTCCCTGCAGGCTATGGGCTGGGGCAACAACGAGATCGGATCTATGCAAGTTCAGAGCGGCGCGTAAGTCTCGACATTGGAACTCGTATTACTCTTTACAGGCTTCACACATGTTAAAATTGGCACAAGTGAAGAAAACTGTAGCTGATAGTGGCTTCCAGGCTTATCCACTGGCATCTAACTGTTGTCCTTTCCTCCTGTAGCTTCACGTATATTTTTCTAAATGCATTACATTTCACTTGCTGTCTAAACCACAAATTCCCCTCTCCTCCTCCTCCTCCACCAGCTGGGTGTGCTACCAGTTTCCAGGTTACCGTGGTTACCAGTACATCATGGAGTGTGACCATCACGGTGGCGAGTACAAACATTACAGAGAGTGGGGCTCCCACGCTCAGTCCTTCCAGGTGCAGTCGCTGCGTCGAATCCAGCAATGAGACCCCGCGGCCTCCTCTCCCAGCCTCTCGCTCTTTACCTCCTCCAGATCTTCCCTCCTGCTCCTCCTCTTCCACCCTTAACCCAATCATTCCAGCACCTTCTGGTGCTTTATCATCGAGATGTTTACGACACTTTTCTTGTCTGTTGCCAAATGAAAATAAAGAGAAAACATGAGAAGAATAAAAGAAAGTTAAAAACAGGCCACTGTAGAGAAGCTCCTGACTGATGCCCCGCTGAGGAAAGAAAAGGAGGACGCTAAAAACAGGCCTCAAGGCAGCAGCAGGGTGGTGATGTCACTCAGAGTCATTGCTCCTCATATTTGTGGGTAACTGTGGTGCTGCCAGTGTTCAATAAAGAAAGAAGAAGGCAACTTAAATAAAGAGTCTGCTGCTAACCTCTGGTGTGTTCAGTTGTGATTTATTTTAAAACAGCGAGCTTTGCTTTAGGCTTCTCTGTTTAACTGTGACTATTTTCAGTGAAAAGAAGCTGGGAGCACATACAGGATAGTAGATATATTGGTAGTCATGTTTTGTTTTACGCCTTAATAGAAGCAAAATTGACTTATACTTACATAACACCTTTCTACTCCATTTGAGCACTCACAAGTGCTTTCTACTACAAGTCACCCAATCACATGCACTCACACTCGGATTAGGGGCAACTCAAGGTTTAGTATTTTGCCTAAGGAGTGTCATTAGCCAGTACTAAAGCTGGTTAATTATTGGAAAGCACGAGCATCTTCTTGAATCTTTTAATGTGGAAATGAGACTAATTACTTAGAAAAATAAATTCAGCTTTTAAAATTGGGAGGCATTGGGACTTCCTTATAATGGCTAACAGCAGGAAGCAACAGCACAGATAAGGAAACCACACAATGAAATTCTTAGATCCCTTATGCTAAACCTATTAGATCTAGTTTAGTTTGCCGCTGCAGCTTTAACCCCTGCAGTTATAGTTTAGCCAGAGCTGTTTGAAGTTAAACACCTCGGGGGTTTCAAAAACTTCTACAACTTGCTACCAGCTCAGGGAAAACAAAGCACTTTGGAAACATTTTGAAGTGTCCTCAGAACCTTTGAAAGGTGAAAAATACACGCATTGAAAGATTTCCAGGCTGCATGTACATCCTAGCCTGGAAAATGTGAGGAGAGTTTGTGTTTTTGAAATCTGAAGGCTCTGAGAGATGCTTTGGATTGCAATTTTGCAGAATTTGCTAATATTGGTAGCATCCATTCTTTTCCATTAGTGGTGGTCATACAACCCCACAGGAGGATATCCCTACCCCCCATGCTTAACAGCTGACAAATTGGGATAATTTTGTTCTCCAGACACTAAATCTGTTGACACTTGTTCCTAAAATGACTCTGACTTTTACAGGCGTTGATTTCTATGCTCTAAACATTGGTTTTGTGAAGAGATTGCAGATAAAGTGTTCATATCGAGCTTTTGGAACTTATAGATATTTTTTCTTCTACATTTTTAGCATTTTTATTTTAATAAATGACCAAAAAAGACGGATGTACCAAGTACGATACAAATTAAAACTAATATATATAAATTGTTATTCAATTATTTTTTTTAATGGCCAGGTTCAATAAACACCGTTTTCAACAAATAGATTTTTCTGGCAATTATTTTGGGCTTTAAAGGGTCAAAGGCGGAACTACTCCGGCCCACCTTAAAATCTGACGTCACCACGAAGCTCCGACCCTGTGAGGTGAACGGAAGTAGATGAAAACAGGCAGGCCAGAACAACTGTGGCAGCGGAAAGACGTCCGTCCGTGCGGAGCCAAATACCAAAATACTTGAGTGTAGTGTTTGTTGTTCAGTTACCAGTTCCGGATGGTGTAGAAGTAGAAGACAGGTCAACATGGTGGCTAACTGGGAACATGTCTCGATGACGCTGAAACTACGGGTGTCACTTTTCGCCTTTCTTTTCCTTTTTGTCGTCTCTCTTGGCGACGACAGACTGCTCGGCTCACGAAGCGCCCGAGCCTCTACGGAGGAAGCGGTAGAAACTTACGACATATACTACAATTATAATGAACTAACAAAACGTTTACAGTCGTTAGCCCAGAAATACCCTCACATAGCTAACCTGTCGACTGTAGGGCAGTCCGTGGAGGGCAGGCAGCTGTGGGTGATGCGGATCACCAGGGACCCCGACAGGAAGTCACTGGGGAAACCTAAATTTAAATACGTTGGAAACATGCACGGCGACGAAACCGTGTCCAGACAGGTGCTGGTTTACCTAGTGGAGTACCTGCTAACCAAATACGGGGAGGAAGAGCGCATCACTGAACTGGTGAACAGCACGGATATTTACATCATGCCCAGCATGAATCCCGACGGCTTTGAGAAGTCCACAGAGGGGGACTGCAGTGGTGGTCACGGCGGTCGAAATAACGCCAAAAATAAGGACCTAAACAGAAGCTTTCCTGACCAGTTCGACAAAACCACCGTGGATCCAGCTAATATCCCCGAGGTGATGGCAGTGATGAGCTGGATCCAGGAGAAAAAGTCAGTATTTTTGGCGTTATTTGTTTTAAACACGCAGATTCCAGATCTTTTTGTCCAGCTATTTGAGGTTTTGACTCGTGTGGCTTTAATACTTTAGCTTCACAGCTCTTTGCAAAGGGGGAATACACCTCAGATTATCCTACATTATAGGCATTTCTCTTTCATCATCACTTTTATACAGAAAGGTTCACAGTTTCATCCTAATTTAATGTACATGTCCATATGTTGAGCCTTTCTAGCGTTAAAGCTGGGGTTGGTTAAAGTCCTTATTCTTTATAGTTGTTCATGATATTCAGCCAAGAATAATTTGATGTGTCAGCAGTCAAACATGATCAAGTCAATTGTTCATAACTCAGACTGACAGTCTTTTTGGTGTTAGATTCTTTCTTTACTTCATGGCAAGTATAGACATGAATGTTATGCTAACAAAGAGTTTGGAGCACTGTGAATTTTATGCTTTAAAGCTAGTGATATAAATCTGTCTTTATCTCCTTAGATTTGTGCTGTCAGGGAACTTGCATGGTGGCACTGTGGTTGCCAGTTACCCTTTTGATGACTCAGCCTCCCACGAGCAAGAAGGTCACTACAGCCCGTCGGCGGACGATGGTCTGTTTCGCCACCTGGCCCTGGTATATTCCCAGAACCACCCTGTAATGAAGACCGGTAAGCCTCACTGTCCTGATACGCCAGAAGAAACATTTAAAGATGGCATTACTAATGGAGCGGCGTGGTACGACGTGCCAGGTAAGACAGCCAAGTTTCTTTGTTCTTATTGATCTGTGTGGGGCAGAACGCCCTCAATAATCTATCAGGGTAAATGAGGTTATCTCACTGGATTTAGCTGAATAAACTGAGCTTCGTTAATCATATAATGTTTGTTTCTGCTAGAACTAAACGTATGATGTCCTTGTTTGTTTTTGGGCGAGGAAATAACAGACTGAGACACTTTGTGTGTGTGAAGGCATGGAGATCAGTGGAACCGGTGTGTTGTTTCTTTGAATGAAAGATGATTGTTGTGTAAGATGGTTATTTAGTCATTGTTCTGGAAAGTCTACTTTGCCAAGCAGGTGAGTGTGGTTGCAAGCTGAATGTTTTCTGTTACAGCTGCATTGTTTGCATTGTATGTAGGCTGCAAGCTGTTTGAAGGGTCTGGCTTAGAAATTATTTCAGTTTTCTTCACACATGCACTGCAGGCAAGCAATCTTCTAGAGATGTGAAGGATAGTGCAGATGTAGAGTATCCAGGCAGCACTATCACCTAAAACAGGTAAAACAAACTATTTATGTTGTGAAGTTTAAAGATTTTTTTTAAAGATTCTTCCATGATAGATTGCATGCAAAATAACTGCATTTGCATCATTCCAGAAATGGCACATGGTAAATCTTCTTTAAGGCTCTTTATTTCTTCATTAAATATAAGCGTGGTTAAAACAGAGCCGTTATAATAGCGGGACATGGCCTTCCAAAATCCATGCAACAATTCATGCAAAGATGGCGGTCGAAAAATAATTTTCAGTGGGGGGTAAGCTTTTTTTTTTTTGTTCTTCCTCCTTTTTTTTTTTGTCCCAGTGATCATTGAGTTTAAGATTAATCTAGATAAAACTTCACAATAACTGCCTCCAAAAGTTCCCACACTTGGTTCCTGATAGATTTCTAGTAGCAAGACTTCTTTGTAAAACACATTATAACGCAGTGTTCATCTAGGGTTCATTTATTTCGCTGCCTTGTTTAACACATGATAGCCAGTTCACAGACTCTTTAATACATGTACATATAACAGAATAGAAGTCTTATGCTTAGTGCTTTGAAACACAAAGAGCTTAAGTGCTTACAGTGCTTTGGGATTTTGACCCTACTCCAAAACCAGAAGTGCACTGCTCATCGTGTTTGTGTCTGCCAAAGCCTGTAATTATGCAACATTTTAGAGCTGGAGGCCTTTTATGGCTCTGTGGGCTGACTCTTTTCAGTTGTCAATACACTGCATGTATCAGTTTCTTACATGAACTAAACTAAAAGCTGTTTGTTTTGTTTCCTTGACTGCAGTGTAATTTAGGCTGAAAACAAGCTCTTCTCTGAACCTGAGGGCCAGAAACTCAGTCAGCATGCTCCTCTCCACCTTTCTTTTGTTGGCTTGTTTGAGGGGTTGGGAGTTGGTGATGTGTCTGGAGCGTCGGGTTACCAAACCGCTCTTCCTCTGTATTGCGCTTGTAGTAGATGTCAGGTTAGCGGTGAATTTGCCTCAACCAGATTAACTGCTTTGATTAAACTCAAGCTTTGTGTAACTAGCGTGTCTTTTACTCTTTTTACTTGGGTGGCTGTAGGTAGAGCAGGTAATCTACTAATCAGAAGGTTGGTGGTTCAGTCCCTGACTGCTCCAGTCCCCAGTCTGCATATCTAAGTATCCTTGGGCAAGATACTGAACCCCAACTTGCTCAAAGTTGAGTATGAATGTGTGTGAAGAACGAGCTTTGGTGTGTAAAATGGTGTGAATGGGTGAGGGATGTTTTTGAATAAAGGATTAAAGTAAAGAAGCGCTATATATAAGCACTTGTTCTTCAAGTTTCTTATATGAAACCTCCTAGATTTATTAGTGGACCTGTCTTCTCTATGTGCAAGTCTGCAGATACTTTCAAAGTCTGAGCTTTTTTATGAATATAGTATGAAGGTAACTCTGAGTAGGAGTATGTATGATAAAGGTTTTATGTTTATAAAAGTGTCTGTCAACCAGCTATTTGAGCAAAAATACTTAAGTGTCATCTGACTGAATGCACCTGTATTTTCCGATTTTATAGTCTATGCAGTTAAACTCTGAATATAAAGATGGCTTAAAAGTAAGCACTACTTGTTCTTGTTTCAGTTTGTCATTAAATGGAACAATATTTGTTTACCGCTTAGAGAAAAGGAAACACTAAATCATCGCCTTAAAGGCTTAAATAGCAGGCAGTATAACCCCGTACTTATCAGAAACACAGTGAAAGAAAAATTAATGTTCAGGTTAAATATTATGGATCCTTGACTGAAACATCCACTATTTACTCTTTGGAGGTTCACATTGTTAGTATGAGACACTTATTGAACCTCTTAGCAGCGATAGTATTCATATCTCACTGATGAAGGTGGTGCCAAGAACAACCTTTGAATTGACAATGGGTTCATCTGTCTGCCATGCCACAGTGGATGAAATGTCACGACTAAAACCGGACTAATGGCAGATGATGGAAGCGGTCAGGCCATTGTGTGACGTAATTAGTCATCCAGGCAAAGCTCCAGGAATCAGGAACAAGGGATTTGTTGTTTGGGAGTCAGAGCTTGAAATAATAATTGTGCATAACATGCAATCATGACCTATAATCTTTTGACACAGTCTATTGTTCGCGTGCTCTTACTTTTGAACTGTGCTTTGTTCATGTAACCAGATCTGATGTTATTGATGATGTGTGTTGCTGTCTCCAGGGTCTTATCTGTTTGAAATATTTTTGGCTCATTTAGTTGCTGTCTGTGCTGAAAGAAACACATCGCTACATAGACACTTACAAGAGAACAAGGTCCTGAATCTAATTTTACTGCATGAAAATACCGCTCCACAGCCACGATAATCTGACGGCTCTGCCAGTGTCTGAGTTCACTCACGCTTCTGATAACACTTTTAAAAAACCAATCACCTGACATTTATACTCTATGCCCTGGGTTGCTATCTTAAATGTTTGACTCAGCTTCTTAAATCATCACTCTGAGTTCAGGGTGTGTCACTGGATCCGGTACAGACAGGACATTTAAGGTTGGGGCTGCTCCAGGCCTTTTTGTGTGTTTATCCAACTCCTGCATATGCAGGATGTTTGGTTTAAGTGATTTGCCTGAAAGACAGCGAGACTTGGCTAACATCTTATGACCAAAGACAAGCTTCTTATTTTTGTCATGTTGTTGTAGGCAGTTGGATTTAAACATAGTTGAAACAGGGGAATGACACTTAGTGCAGTTATTCTACTTTAACAGGTGAGAGAGTTTAAGACCTGTGTGCTGCTGGGTCGACAATGCCCCTACTCTCTCTGTTGTGAACACAGTGATTAAAGCGTTACCCTGACACGTCTAAATACACCACCCATATTCCAAATAAGCCCAGAGGCCATGCTTCCTATTAAAAAGTCAAATCTGGCTGGTAGCTTTAAAAGTCACAGTTTCAGATAGTTTAGTTGTTTAGCTGCAGCAAGAAGGAAGCTTTGTATTAAAGACTAGCTTTAGTCTTTGGAATTCTTTATTTAGACTGTTGAACCCCCTTTACAAAATAAACTTTGGTGTTTATACCATGTAGACACACAAATGATGACTATATTTTGACCCTCATCTTATGCAATGACTGTGTATTAGAAAGGGAATCTTTCAGTGGTTGGTACGAACATAAGGTTAGAGAGCCGTAAAAATGCATTTGTGTTGGCATAGGAAGAGTTCATCACTTTGCTTGTAATGTCCCTTTTCAGCTTCCATTGAGTGAACTGGCAGACACTCTCTGAGTTTCGGGCAGCCAAACAGCTGTCGCTTCACAAGGGATGACTCAGAATAACTTGTATTTTTCCGAGGCTGCTCTCTGAATTGAGTGTATCATATCACCATCTGTCCTTAGGGTGGAAGAGATTCATTGAGATTTTCATTACTGTGTTTTTTTTGTAACATAGTAAAGCCAATAATACAACAGACAAGCAAACCAGGTTTATAAAATGGTCCGGAGTATGGCTATTTGGAAGGGTACTCAGGGGATTCTACAAGCAATCATAAAATTGCACAAATAATAGTAGTTCTATTAGTATTTTTAAAAAAATGATTGCAAGTAGTGTAGACTAAAGTGGTGGGTTTTGTGACAAGGTAGGGGCTTTCCATATGCTTTTTTTTTTTTTTTTTTTTTTTTTTTACATTTTCCTTCTTAGATTTACTTGCATGTGGCTTTGTTGTGCATCACAAATTTTGTGTGCCAGCATTTTCTGTTGTCTTGTGGTTTGCATCTTCCTCACTGAGGCTGGTGTAAGCTGGTTTATAGAAATTTTCACAGACCCCCTGGCTCAACTGTGTAGGATGAGGGCAGAGGGGAAAAAAGAGAAACGAAGCCCATATAGAAACAATGAAATGTGTAACAACAAACCAACAACTCTGGGCACTTGGTAGGGCAAGCAGCCCTATTGGCATACATGTTTGGGGGCAGAAGTGTCTGTTGCATTTGGTTCCCGGGGCCACCAAGCCAGGAGTCATGGAAACCTTGCAGCCAGGAAGCATCTGACTGCCTGCTCATGTTCCACAGGGATGAACAGCCTGCCCTTCTGTGTGTGTTTCTGTTTGCATTACTGGACTGCAAGGTGCCTTGCAAACCCCAGATGTCGGGGCTTGTTGCCACACTAACTCCCTCTGTAAACTTTGGCACTGAGGGGGACAAAGACAGGCTTGAACTTTTCCAGACAGAACCTCTGGTGTAATAAACAGTTCTGGCACTGCTGGATTACCGTTCAGGGCAGCATAGTATGCGGAATATGTATTTTTTTGCATCTTTTGCATGCATATTTTTAAATGTGACTTTAGTATCAATTTAGCTGTTTCTAACTTGTGCTTTTATGTACATGTTTTTTATGTTCTTTTTCTGTTATCCAGGAGGGATGCAGGACTACAACTACATTCATGGAAACTGTCTGGAAATCACCATGGAGCTGAGCTGTTGCAAATACCCTTTTGCTTCTGAGCTCCAAAGGGAATGGGATCTAAACAAGGAATCCCTGCTAGCCTACATAGAACAGGTACATAAGAAATAAATTGTCCATAAGATATGATGTGTCGTTTATTTGTTTATATAAAAGAATAATGGCACAATCAACATCTCCGTCATGCAGTTTCTCCACTTAAGCCAAGTGTAAGGTTCTTTAACTTTTGTTGAAAATCATAATGGTCATTTAAGAAAATGCATACAATAAAAAAAAATGTGGAAAAAAATTAGCCAAAGCCACAAAGATGGTATTTTCAGTGAATTAAAAAAATCACGTTATTACAAGTGTTTTATAGATTAATACCAACTGTAGTCAAACCAGTGATTTTATAACCACTGAGGGTTTCTTTGCACTCAAATTACTGCTGTCTTCCAGGTGCACATCGGTGTTCGTGGCTATGTGAAAGATGCAGTTAGTGGTGCTGCCCCTAGCAATGTCAGCATTGTGGTAGCAGGCGTTCGCCACAACCTGACGACAGGGGAATATGGGGACTACTACCGCCTTCTGTTACCAGGAACATACAACATAACAGCTGTGGCTCCAGGGTGAGTGCACATAACAGATTTTTTACAAACAGAGGTTATTTATTAGTGGAAACACTTAATGCTGGGCCAAATCTCTAGTTTCAGTTCAGTGACCAGTGACGGCCCAGAGGTTGCAGATTGCTCCCTGCTGATTGCTACCAAGGGTTTTTTTGATAGAGTTTAGGCCCGTTTGTTGGGTTAGACCAGTGGTTCCCAAACTTTTTTTGCTAGGGCCCCCTTTGTTTTACAAGAAAAATGTTGTGCGTGCGCGTGCGCCCCCCCCCGCGCACGCGCGCACGCACGCACGCGCACAAACACATCCTCCAACCATACACACCCATATTTTGCTCCATTGCGGTTTTCTGTTACGCTACGTCCACACCTACACGGGTATTTTTGAAAACGCAGCTGTTTCTATGCGTTTGGACCTTTCGTCCACACGTAAACGGCGTTTCGAATCACAGAAAACGGAGATTTTTTAAAACTCCTTTTTTGCGTTTACGTGTGGACGACAAAGGTATGTGCCTTTTTTCACGTCAGCTGTGCGCCACGTTATTGTTTACATGAGATGAATTGCAGAATGACAGATGGAGACAAAATATTGTTACTGTTAATCTGACCATCTTCAGTTTTTAAACGCTTAAATATACATACACAGTTACTTTCCCTCCATTTAGAAAGGCAGAGGTGTCACGGTGTGATTATTTTACGTGTAGTTGTTTTTTTTCCTGTGTAATAATATTCAACATTGCTGTCAATACATTTTTCAAAAAATGCCTCTCTGTGCAAAATGGGTTCAAAAACATAAACAACTGTGGGATACTGTTTCTCCGTGATTTAGACAGGGGAAACAAATCGTGGCAGGATCAGCCTGATATTATTTGTATCCCACTGTAACTTTACTGTATAAAGAGCTAACATCTCCAAAATGACAGGAGTAGTTAGTCATTATGAGAAGTGTTTGTGAACTAAAAATCAAGAATGTGGGATACTGTTTGTCCGTGATTTAAAGAGCCCAGCGCTGCTCCCGATGCAGGCAAAAGCAATTCTGCAGGGGAGACCTACCTTGGCACTTGTGCAGGTGAAGCCAAAGGGAAGATATGCTTCACCATATTTTCTAGTCTTTGGCTTAGAATGAAGTTGGTTTGGAAACATATTCAGCCATGCTTCATCTCCTTTTTTTTTTTGTACAACCTATGCCAGATCAATTTTTAATTTGGCTCTCAAAGATCATCAAATAACGAAATTTTGTCCATGTGACTGACATACTTAACCAAATGTACCTCCCAGAAGTATTATCTAACCATCACTCTTTGTTAGTGTTTGTTAAGTAGTTTAACATGTGTTGCACAAGTTACTTGGCAAACTTCCTGATTAAGAGACTAAAACTACAGCTTAATACTTCCTTGTGATGGGCTCACATGTCAACAGGTTTACATTCCCACTGAGGTATACGCGGTAGTTGGTGTCATATTACTGTAATTCTGTCAGTTCTCAGCCCTGTCTTTTTTTTTTTTTAATCATTCATCATTCATGAACTCGGGACATGTGATTGTGACATGTGTTGCATACTCAAAACCAGCTTTGTGGTAGTTCCTGTTACAGTCGGCCTCTCAGCGATCACATTTTCTCAACATCATGCACACACATAAACTAAAAACAACAGCAATCACACTGTTACAGCTGATAATATTTACATGAACTGAGCTGATCTCAGCCCACATGATCTGTGAACATGACCTGTTCAGCAAAAAAAAAACCCCACAGAGATCTCTCTCTCTC